TTTGGGCCCTCCAACCTGGAGACATCCGCCCTCCCATGGAGAGGATGAGGCCCAAAGGCCAGCAAGGTTAAAGTGACCCCTTGAGTGGAAGCCCTTAGGAGGGCACAACTCTACCTCATGGGGGCACGAGGAGCCGCCCCCAGCGGGCCTTGCAAACAGGCCTTAATTTATTGTCCCTTAGGTAGATTCTGCACATGCCATGTGTCCTTCTCCTTTTCTCCAGCCCTGAGCCCTCAGCTAACCAGTTCTGATCCTCCTGTATAAACCCTGCACGCTCAGACTTCCCCTGGGGCTCTTGTTCCCGGCACCTTTTACAGAGTGCCCCTTTTTAATAAAGGCTCTCTCTGGTCTCCACGTTGCCCAGAGCTGCTCTGCGGGCCCAGCTCACTGCACCAGGGTTTTCTGACTACACACAAAGTAGATGGGATAGGACAGAGAGGAGGGAGAGAGAGAGAGAGAAAGAAATAGGCTGGGAGGGAGGGAGGCAGAGAAAGATATTCCTGGTATTCCTGGTATTGATCTGAAGTGGAAAAGGTAAATTTGAGTTTTTTCAACTCAAATTGACTGTGTAAAAAATGAAATCATTCAGACATAAGAGGTATCTAGAATAAAGAACCTCAAAAATACAGGAAAGCTTTCTTGCTCATTTGGCTCACTAGTGAGGAGAAAAAATACATAAAACCCTATCAGATTTAGTAATATTTAAATTTCAAAAAATGTGTCTTCTAAAAAAAAAAATCTAGATAATTTGTAAATAAGCTCATGAGGAAGTCCATCAATATTAATTTGCTTAATGTTTTTATGTTTCCCAAAAACATATCTTGAGTTCAGATCTTTGGCTGGCCAAAGAATAAAATGTTATTTTACATCTGAGGCAGAATGACTTTGTGAAGGGATCAGAGGGTCCAGGTAGGTAGAGGACAGCCTGACTGGTTTGGATGGATGCTCTGATGAAAAGGACTGGGAGGCTGGGTGGTCACCGGGTTGAAAATGAGTGAAAAACAGGTTTTCCTGTAGAATAAGGAAAAGCCCATAGCCAGCAGGTCAGGGGAAGGCATTATCCACCTCAGGACTGCAGCAGTGGGGCCATAACTGAAACACTCTGCTCAGTTTCTGGGATATTTTGAGAGCAGTGATGGATTTGTTCAGCAGTGGGTTAACAAAATGGTTAGGGACAGAGATCTGACCTATGAGCATAAGTTAAAAGAGCTGGGAAATGTCTTGTTTATTCTGAGACAGTGCAGGCTAGCAGTAAAATGATCTGGCAGGCACCCACAACTAAACATGGGATGATGATGAAGATACACTTTTCTGGGTAGTGTCACACAATAAAAATAGTGGTGGTAACAAGATGTTGTAGCTTAGGAGGTTCAAAGTAGACATAAAAACCTTTAAGAGTGAGGGGAGTGCACTAATAGGAGAGTTTAGTGGGAGAGGTTGTGAAATCATAAAAATCACCGAGTCATAGAATGATTGAGTTGGACAAGACCTTTAAGATCTTTGAGTCCGACCACAAACCTCATGTCCCTCATTGGAGCTTCTCAGGATTTAGATGGACAACCATGAATACAAACATAGAAACAGTCCAAGATTTGAAAAGGAGCCTTCAAAGCTGCTCCCCAGATGCCCCTCCCCAGCAATCTCTCCTGTTGTTTCCCTCCTTAAAGCAGTCTGTTCCTTTTGGAATGCTGTGTCTGTAGTCTCTAACACCTTGTCAGCCAATTGTGCGCTCGGTGAAATTTCAAGGTGCAACATACAATAGAAGGTTCTGCCTTTTTCTCTGCTATTCTTTTTTTTCATAACTCCTGTAATTTTTATCTTTTTCACTGATTTGCCTCTACTGACCTGAGGTTTTCACAGTCTATCACTTTACGTGCATCTGCATTTTATTTCATCTTCATCTTAGTTATCAGATGCTCCAAACCAAAGACCTGCTGGAACTCTTTGCAAATGCCTCTTTACTAAACAAAATTACTTACTCATTCACAAAAGGCATGAGTGTCTACATGACCAGGTAGTACACCATAAACGCTGTTTCATATTAATATAAATCTCTAGAGTTGACTTACCTACTTTGAAGTTCAAATCTATTTTCCTTTTTCTTAAAGAAGTCATTGTTTCTCCAGGTGAAAATCTTCCCCTTCTGTGATCCTGTAATTCTGATTCTAACCAATGGTGGGTTACCTTTTTCAAAAAGATCTGATAAAGATTGTAGCTGAACAAACTGTTGAAAATGGTATGTTTAGATCAGCTGGATATTCTCCTTGTCCAAACTCTCACTATTAGCCCAAGGAACTCCACAAGGTCTCCAAAACACAAAAATGGACAAAATGACATTGGTTTTGTTTTCAGAATAATGTTGCTGTAACTATGAATTAAAGGATATGATTCACACTGTAGTCTGTGCTTCTACAATTTTATCCTTTATGCATGCAGGTAAACAGGACAGGGCACTGACAAGCTGTAAAGAGTTCTTATACTCACAAAGCTTATCTTCTATACCTTGGTCTTAGTGAGAAAAGAAGGAAAACCAGTATCAGATGAACAAATTCAAGTAACTTTTGTTCCCAGACTTCACAGGATTTTAGTCATTGGCAAAAATCTATTTTGCCTTAAAAGAGAGAAAGAGAGAGAGAGAGAGACAAAGAAAGAAAGAAACTAAAGAAAATGAAAGGGAGAAGGGAGAAGGGAGAAGGGAGAAGGGAGAAGGGAGAAGGGAGAAGGGAGAAGGGAGAAGGGAGAAGGGAGAAGGGAGAAGGGAGAAGGGAGAAGGGAGGAGGAGAAGGTGCGGGAAGGGAACGTAGGGGAAGGGGAAGGGAAAGTGACAGATTACAATGAAAATTTCATCCCTCCATGCATGCCAATGCCGTCCCTTTGACAATCTCCATCAGGTCTCCTCAGTGCTGAGGGTTCCCCCAGGAACATCGAGTTCAGCCAGTGACAGACACCTGGGCCAGGGACAGCACCCAGGGACCTGCCCTGCCTGGGGGAACCTGGACACAGCCTCGTGCAGCAAACTCTGCATCTGCTGCATGGCTTTGCATCCCGTGCAGTGCTGTGCTGCAAGGCCTCAGCAGTGAGCCTGGGGAGAGCTCTGGGGACCTTGCAGCGATTGTGACTTGTACTTCTTGTTCTTTGTCATCTTCTTCTTCTTCGTGGTCTTGTTCATCTCATTTGGTTCTTGTTTTCTTCTTGTTTTCTTCTCTTGTTCTTGCTGTTCCTCTTCTTGTTCCTATTCTTGTTCTACTTGCTCTGTTTTCTCCTTCTTTCTCCTTCTTTCTAGCCTTATCCTCATTCCTTATTTTCATTCCTTATTGTTATTTTTTCATGTTTTTGCTTTTGCTTTTTCTTATGCTTTATATTTTTTCTGATGCTTTTTGTCTTAAGCTCTTTTTAAGTTTTTCTTATTCCTTTTGTAATTTCTACTGCTGTTTTTATTTTTTTATTTTTATGCTTATCCCTTATTCTCTATTTTTATTTATATTCTTATTAATTTGAATTTGTTTTTCTTTTTTTCTTATCATTTATGTTTTTCTTATGCTTTTAGTCTTGAGCATAAGACAAATGCTCAAGACAAAAAGCTTTTTTCTTAAGCTTTTTCTTATCCCTTTCCATATTTCTGCTCTTATTCTGATGTTTTTCTTAGTTTTATTCTCAATCCTATTTATATTCATATTTTCAATCATATTTATTTTCTTATTCTCATTCTCATTCCTATTTTTATTCTCTTATTTAGTACTGCTACATCTGCATCTGCTTTGACTGCTTCCTGTTCTTCCTAATATTCCTAAACAGGCCTGGAGCTGGCTGCTCAGGACATCACTGCATTCCCCACTGTCCTGCACCAGCTCTCGGTCACTGTCGTCATCCCAGCTGGACCTGGAGGAATTTCTCTTTGCTTTGCCTCCGGTCACCTCCTGGCCAATGCACTCCTGCCTGGCTGAGGTTTTTTGTCTCTCCTGGACATTTCCTGGGACAGCTCTTGTTTGTGGCCAGCATCCCAGTCAGAGAGTGCCCAGCAGCTCGTGCCTTCTCCTGGGGACAGCCGCTGCTCAGGAGATTCTTCCCAGTCTGGGAATTCCAGACAGAGACCTTTCTCTCCCTGGCACAGCTCTTGCTCCCTGCATTCCTCCCACTCAGAGAAATCACAGTAGCTCCCAGAATCTTCTTGGTCCAGCCTTTTCTCAAGGCCTTAATCCCCATCAGAGAGCTCCAGGGAGCTACGGCCATTTCCTGGGGACAGCTGTGGTTCAGCATGAGCTTCCCCTGGAGTCCCTTGCTGGAATTTGTTCTCCCCCTCTCGGGAGAGCTCCGGCTCTTCCCCAGTGTAGAAGTTCACAGAGACGGTCTCCATCCAAGGCCCCTCTCCTCCCTCTCCTTGCCCTCTCGGCCTACTCCTGCTGCTCCCTCAAGGCCTGGGTGTAACTTTGCTCAGCCCCTTAGCTTTCGCTGCCTGTCTATGGCAGCATCCTAACATTGCTTTTAATCTCTCCCCCCTTTGCTTGGGGTCCCTCCGCAGCTCGGCCATCCCCCCGTGTCTCCCTGGTCCTTGTGGCTCCTCCTCTTGGGCAGCCTCTGAGTCTGCCCCTTGGACTGCCCCCAAACCCACCTGATGGGCAAGTATCTCTGGGGTCACCTGCTGGGCAAATACCCCTATGTCCTCCTGTAAGAGACGGTCCAAAGATTCCCTCATCTGTCTCACAACCGTCTCAAGGACGGAGACTGAGACCCTGAATATCACAAGGGACTTGGTTTGGGGGTTTGGGCCTAGCTGAGGTGGATGTTTGCTGAGTGATTGTTTGCAGGTGGTTGCACGGTACACTGCCCTCGTTCCTGCTGGTGAGCAGAGGCTTGTGTGTGGTACCCTGTGCAATGGGTTTTCCACAATACCTTGTCCTCATTCCTGCTGGTGAGCAAAGACTTGCAAGACATGGATCGCTCTGTACCCTGCACCTGGACGGCTGAGTGGACTTTGACGTTGGTAGCTGTAATCCCCTTACTCTCTTTTCCTTATGCTTTGCTTTCTCCTCTTCTCCCTCTATCGCATATTAGTGCTGATGAGCACTCAACAAAGTGTGTTTTGCTGTTTAAGTCCTTGGTGTGCTGATAATCTCTTGTACTCTAAGACCGGCTAAAAGAACCACATCACGAATCCCACCTTGCAGACTGTGACACCCCCTCCTGGGCAGACACCCCTTCACCAGCCTCTTCTAACATCACCTTTGGGTGGTTAGATTGATCAAAGGGCAGGGTCAGCTCCCTCCCTCACTCTGGTTCCTCTGACCTACATGGAGAGTGTGGGATAGGGGGCTGTTCTCAAGGTGTGGTTTCAGAAACAGCATAGACTTTTTCTA